AGATGGAACGCCCCATATATAAATATGCATCTCAAAATCCACGCAAGGGTGCGCGCTCATGAAAAGTGTGTCAAATAAATTTTTCACTTTTTTCCAGCTTTATGCAATGAACTTTGTGCTCATATAAATTTTTGCTAGTTGTTCGTTCTTTGTTTTAACAGGTTTTTTATGCTCTCGTACATATACACATACATATGTATGGTCTTGGATATGTACTCCATTTTCATACATAGATACTTTATGCTAGCACGCTTTTGTCCTTGGGGCATCATTTTCTCTTTCGCTTATGTTCGTGTTGTTTAGACAAATGTATACAGTTTTATGAATGTATGTGTGTATATGTATTTACATATGTATGTTCGGTAGGTGTTTAAATACAAATAAAGATGAGTTATTTCTCTCAATAGAAGTACTGTTAAGCATTTTGATATATGTACACACATATGTATATATGTATTTTTGTATATACATATATGGCTTTTTATGTGCTTTAAAAATAGCCATAATCTAGTAAAAGTGTGTAATAGTGAAAAATCAAAAAATACACTTGTACTTGGGACATTCCAGCTCAACTTTAACACAATTTGACTTTTTCATTTACGAGTTTTTCGTAATATTTTATTACTTATGCATTTGACAGAATTCTCCCGGACCTTTTTTTGGTATCGATTTTGGAATAAAAACCTTCCTATTTTAAATGCACATTCGCGATAAATAGGTCCATTGGGACAATTTTTTCGGATTGTCTGTCTGTTTGTAAATTTTCATGTCTGTAAAATTTTAAAATTATTAACATAAAATGTTACTGCTCGATTTTCTTTAAAACAGTACATTTTATTTAACTTTTAAACTTTTTGATTAACGCATTTGATTTGACGCAGCTATAGTTCTTGCCGTTGAGTTGGACAAAACTTTTTGTTTCTTTATTAATTTAAAAATTCGTAAAAATTATTTTTCAAAAAAAATGTTTTCCAAAAAATAGATCCCATTATCGGACTAGGCCTTATAGTTGCGGAATAAGTGATAATTTTTTAGAAAAAATTTTCAAGAAAATTATGTAGCAAAAGTTTTTTGGAAGACAACATTTTATATTAAAATTTGTAAAACTTTATAGCAATGCGGTTTTGAAATTTTTTTCCATTCCATCTGTTCCAATCTTCCCATTTTTCGCAAAGTTAGGGGGTTTTGGAAAAAGGAAAATTTTTTTTTAAAAAACTATAACTCGAAAACTGCTCGACAAAAAAATTAAAAAATTGGGTAAGCCTCGCTCAATTGACACCAAAATATCAAAATTTTGAAAAAAATTGGAAACGCCAAAGCAAAATGATTTCCGAATTGGGCAGGAATGCCCCATATATATATATATATATCTATTTGTTTGAGTACCTTTGTTTTGCATGTCTAGAGTAGGTAAAAGATAAAAAAAAAAATCGAAAAATTTTATTTCAAATATTTATAAGTGTTATTTTGTTAAGTAATGACACAATTTTCATGCATAATTTAATTTGAAAGCCGCTGACTACTTGATTATGCCAATAAACTTATTTATACCGTACGTAATTAATTTTTTCACGCTCATTCGACTATTCGAAATTATCACGAGTTTAATACTCTTTTGCCTTAGTTATTTAAAAAATAATAATAATTGGTTTGCGCAAAATGCAATCAAATCAAAGGGCCAAAATGGTTTAAAATTAAACTGGAATTTCTTCTTTTTAGAAAAAGCAAAATAAATACAAATATTTGCACTCACACACACACACACACGCTGACGCGCTTTGCAGTTGTGGTTTAATAGGCTTAACTTCAATTGGCATTTCAATTGAGTTAATTAACTGCAGCAAAAAAAAAAAATAATAATAATAATACCGTTAAAGCTTTTACATACAAACGCTAATCTACATGCAATTCGCACATTTCTAAATTAATATAATAAATGATATGCGGAATAAACCATAATTTTTGGCACTGCACGCATTCTTATCCCAAAATAAATTAATTTACGAAAATGTTTTTATTGTTTTGCAAGCATATTAGCCAATATTTTGCAGCCTTTATGCTGCGCAATCAACGATTATTTAGACAAAGCTATTAAATTAACATAAATTTTTCCTTTTCAGCCTAATTTTACATAATCCATTAATTTTGTTTTGTTGCCACAAAAGCCGCGATTTACATGTGATTGGGTAAAAATAAAATTGAATCTGTGTGTGTATGTGTGTGCCCATAGCAAATACCCGTAAACGCGTAAAACTGCGTACATATCGACAGCTTTTTTATATTTTTAAGCCGCTAACTCCGTTGACCTCACGCTAGCTACTGGCGTTATGATAAGCTCTTAGTCGACTTTCGCTGGTTATTTATATGCACTTGCCAATTTTTGGTGGTTTTGTGGCTACATCTGTTAACACAGGATACCATTTTTGGTGTGTTGAATGGCGGAAAATTATGCAAATTGTTATTTTTACATTAGAAACACCGCAAAAAGTTACTAAAATTAGAAAATTTCAATTTAATTAGATATTGAAATTTATCAGCCATTTTCGCTGTAATCGCTTTAATGGCAGTGCCACATGGCGTATACGTTACACATTTTTATGCAGTTAATAAGCAAAAAAAAGCGTTGACAGTATAAAAATTAATTAAAAAAAATTTAGTAAAATCCACCGACGTAAAAGTACTTTTCTTTATACATAGATAATATACATATAGTGCTTTTCATAACTATACGCCACCCAGATATTAACAAGTCTTTACTATTTTTTTAAGTTTTTTCTTTAATTTTTTTATTATTTATTTCAATTTTATAGACAAAATCTAGGGACTTACGAGGTTTTACGCCGCCTCCGAAAGGCTAACAGATTTTGTTAGGAGCTTTCTTAGTGCCGAAATACAATCGGTGGCTTGCCATTGCTTGCCGAGGGGCGCCCGCTAAATATTAGAAAAAATTTCTAGTTTAGATATTGCCAGGACCATGAATCGAACCTAGGTCATTCGGGGTATTATCACGACCTCTAACGACTCAGCCAAATTTATTCGTGTGTTGGTGTTGGTTGATTTTTCCGAGAGGGTGGTAAGATGATTTATTTTGGAACGAATTTCCGTCATCCCTTGTCAAGTTTGGTTTGCAGACAAACCGGTTTCGGCATTGTGCCATCTTCAGTGTCATTTTTCGTTCGAAAAACTTGAAACTTGACAAGGGATGACGGAAATTCGTTCCAGAATAAATTAAAATTTATTCCGTATAAACCCAGGTTCAAACTGGGTGCAATATTTAAAAACAATTAACAATTTTACGTAAAAGTTCCGAATTTTTTTACAAGATTTTTTAGAAAGATTAAATATAAATAAAAGTAGATTTGATCACGCGTTATATGGAAGAAAACGCGCAATACCCTCCACAAAAAAAAATTCTAAAAAATCAACGGCAATTTTTAGCGACTTGAAACCGGCACTTTGTTGTACTAAAATTGAACGGGCGCAGTTTCGTAGCCGAACATTTTCTAGAAATTCTGAATAAAAATTATGAAATTTTGATGAAAATTGTTTGAATTTTTGTGAACTTTATATAAAGTGTGAAGCTTTGTTTTATATAGCTATTGTTATAGAATAATCAATATTTTCATAAATAATTAATGAAAATTTTTTTTCTTGAAAATAAATGTTAATTTAATATTAGAACATGGTGCACACTTACATTTGGCACTGACTGTATATCGTGAAACCGTTCCGACCAAAGTGTACGCAACGCCTGGCATGTGTGTGCTGATTAGTTCAGCCGCTTTTGGTTGTTCTTCTAGCCACTTAATCTTATCTGGATAACATGAATCGCAAGAGAATCAAGATTGTAGTGATCTTTGACATTTTTGAAAACATATCAAGCTACCCGACATATTAGTTACATTTACATTTATCTCAAACTGGAAAAAGGTGCAGCAGTCTGCGAATCTTTTGGCCTCTGACAGAGACATTCTCTATTCAATGTCCATTTTGAAGCCATATGTGGATTTCGATTTTTCATCATCACTTAGAATGATATTAAGCTTCCAGTCACTTCTGGGAAAGTGGGTTTTGAAGTTGTCTTTATTCAAAATCAAAAGCTCTTCCAATTCACAGCCCTCAGAACGCTTTAAGATTCGGTTATTTTTACATAGATATATATGCATATAGGAATGTCCAGTAGTGTCTCTAACAGCAAACGAGATGTCGAGAGATTGTTGTTGTACCTTCTAAAAGAATAGATAGCGTTGATCTTATCTTTTGTAAAAAAACTTAGCTACCCTTGAAAACTACAACTCGTTAAGCAATTTCAGATTTGTGCCATTCAGTTATGGAGCAAAACTTTTTCTGTTTTGAAGAGAGTAAATTCTCAAAGTTATGCAGTCTCTCTTCCCTTCACACTTATGAGAAAAGCATGGAAAGTCGTTAACAGTTTGTGGCCCGTTTTCCTTAAATAAGGGTCTAAGACCACTGCTACCATGACTTTGGATTATATATATGGGAAAGATTGAGCCTTTACTCTATTTATCATTATCCATTTTATAAATAAAGGTCTTCAATAACTCTTATGTAAGGCATATATTTAATATACAAGTCGAAAATAATTTTATAAAAACTGAAAAAAAAAATTATTTTCAAATTTTAGTCTCGGTGAAAAAAGAAATCGATTGCTATGTATCACTTAGTTGTAGAATATTTCCTTCATAGTGAATTTCTCCATGACAGTTTTCATCAATAACTGTTATGTACGGTCGCTGATATCTGTGTTATATACGTCTTTCATTTACTATAGTCTTACTCTAGTATTTATTTACATTCTTATTTTTTGAATTTCCTATGAATATGTATTTAGTATGTTAAATTTTTTTAGTTTCCGGAAAGATAATTTTGTTGATTTTTCACCAAATTTAATATCTTTTAATTACTTTTTACTTTACTGTTGTACTTTTTGTTTTTTTTTCATGTATTTAATTTTTATTTTATTTTAATATTTTCTTTAGGATGGCGTCGATAATGAAATATTGGATGATGATATTGGCTCAGGTTTTACGGTATGTTGCTAGTAGTTATTTTCTTATAATTTCTTGCCTTATTTCTTTAGAATAAGTTTTTGATTTCAAAATAAAAATTACTACATTTACATTTATTTTTACTTTTTAGACATTTTAATTTTTTAATTTTTTCTTATTTTCTTTTCATAAAAACTCCCACTACAAACATATGTATTTGTTAGCTAAATATGAATGATGCAGAGTATGATATTTTGGATGAGAAATTTTGGAATGTAAGTACAGTACATACATACATATGTTCATCACATAAATTCTAACAAGTATACATAGAACAACAACTACCAACCTAACTAACTCATCTACTTCAATTAATAGAGAATTTTTCCTTTGGAGGCATTTTGGCAGAAGCTTTCAAATATCATACTGAGAAAATGAAAGTGAAACACCTTTTTTCTTTTGTAGTTACTTTCAATTTGATTACGTAGCTTTTTGTCTGCTTGGCGTTAACGCTGAATGAAATATAATCTATTAGTAAAACACAAGAACTACTATACTATATACCATATGTAATTAACTAAAAACATTCGACTGTGCTTAATTGACGTCATAATTGGAGTTGTTAAACATTAATAAAGTTATTAAGATATTTATCTTTCCACATGCTAAAACTGAACAGCTAGACAATCAAACTTTGTGGACACAATTGTTAATTTCCAGCTGTTATCTGCATAGGTACACCTTAAAACCAACACATTATGTAGATACATATGTATGTTCAGTAGGGTGCATCACAAAAAAATTAGCGTCCAAAAATCTGGTTATTTTGATTCCGTTGTTAAAATTAAAAAAATTTATATGCGGACCTCTTAACCTAAAGCTCTCTTATGATCTGAGGTAATTTTTTAGAAAAATTATTTTGAAAATTTATTTTGATAAAACCAAATTTGTTTAAAAAATCTCGAATTTTCAAGGTATTTTCAAGTGTGTCTAGTAGTAGTTCACGTAAGTCTTAATGCTCAACCGTAATGTTTCGACAAAATTCCTAAAATATAACAAATTTTATAACTCCGATGGAAAAACGGTACCGTTTTTTTTTTGTATTGAGAGCGATGCACCCTAATGTATATTATATTTTGATTTCTACTCTAGGTACATGTATGAAAAAAGTCATTTATCCTATCGCATGATATAGGTACCTACACCTAGACATATGTATATACCTAGCTTAAAAGAGTCGCATATCAAAAATTCTGACAAAATCTCACACATTACACGAATTTGTGTATTTGGCCCTCTAATGCCTAGTGAGCCTACATGTGAGTGAAACAGAAATACTCATATGTATATACGTTTGGAAACTACATGAAAACAAGGCACGTCACTTATGCTATGTTGCAGGCATATCACGATTTTCCAATCTAAACATTATTACGCATACAAACTGTCTAAATGTCTAACTGCATGCGGCCGAATATGGGCAAGAGCATTTGTATGTTCCAACATGAATGTATTAACGAGTAATTTGAGCAAAGCATACAGGGATTATTCATATATTTATGTGGGCGTTCATATGGACAATCATTTGCTAAAAGCACACACCATACATATGTAGGTAGGTATATAGCACAAGTATTAACGACTATATTACTTAAGTGTTTATGTACAATACATAAATACATATGTACATACATATGTATGTAAGTATAGTAAGAACTTTTCGTATCTTCTTTATCATTCATTCATTTTTGGATACCTGACTGTACACACACTTGCATATCTATACATATTTATATGTATAAATGATAGCAAATTTGCGTGCCATCACACACAGTATATACATACATACATAAATCCAAACTTGTATATATTTACATTTAAATATGCGTTTGTAGTTAATCGTTAACATGCGCTTCGATGAGGAAGCTGTGACATTAGCAGAGTACTTTGCAAAAACATTAAATGACTTTTCTATTGAGAGGATGCAATATATGTAGATATCTCTATGAGCTTAAACGTTTCGGCACAAGTATTAGAATACTTTCTGCTCGTTCAATAAACAATCTCATTGAGGGAATAGTAAAGAAGTAAATAAAAATCTTTCTTAAAGCCTCGAAGCCTGCTATATCGCACAGCCACGGCCCAGATGCCATGAAACACGTAGAGTTTTATTTATCAAAAAATGGGTCATTGTTAACCTTAATCATAGTTCTGGATAAGACAGAGAATTTTAAAATTTAGTTATAGCCGAAGACTAGAAATAGTTTTGCAAAAATATCTGAAGATTCCGCACCCGTTTGGTTTTGTTGTGTGCATAAACGGCTCCTTATACTCAATAATTTGTCTTAGTAGCTTTTCTGGATATTAGCAAAAAGTCCACGATTTAAATGTGGATGAAAACCTATAAGGCCTTAGGTTAATTAAATAAGAGAAAACGAGGACCAGCAAAGAAAATAAGATTGAAAAAGTTGACTTCAAGAAGACGTGTCGGAAAGACGGGAAAAGAACGGACAGGAAAGGAAAGGAAAGGAAAGGAAGGGAAATTAAAGTAAAGGAAAGGAAGCGAAAGGACAGGTAATTAAAGAAAACGAAATTAAAATAAAAACCACGGATACCACCAATAGTTAAAAAGGCCGTATCAATAAGAACTAATCCATTACTTTTTCTTAAAGTCTAAGGCCTTTTATTCGATGTATTCGAATATTCGGTCTGCAATTTTAAGAAAAAACACCTGCTTAGTTTTTATTCATATGGCCTGCTCTTTGAAAATAGTACACCACTGGGCAATTAACGGAAGTCTTGGAATATATACAGTGGCAAAAAAAAAATGGGAAGAGACTTTTCAGCATATTTTGGCTATTTCCCCTTTCGCTTATTTAATTTTTATTATTTTTGTTTATGGAATTGTAGCTCGTTATATAATAAAAACCATCAAAGTCAAAATTTCAAGCATTGCACAAAAATTTGCAAAATTCGATAAAGTTTTTTAATTACACTTTTTCTAGCCCATTCAAGTTTAGTATCACTAAGTGCAAACCTTAAGTACCCAGGACTTACCATTGATTTTGGGCAATTTCTTTTTTTTTTTTTTTGTGGAAGGTGTTGTCATTTTCTGCATACAAACATATTTTCGAACATAATTTTTATGGAATACAAAAGAATAGAAAGCGGAGTTTAAGAATCATAAAAAAGGCTACAGAAATTTAAAAAAAATATAACGATAAAGTCACGATGTGATATTGAAGAGTGCAAAACCCTGAAATTCGTGTGCACACGAATCGAAAATGTAAACAAATATATGTAGGTATTCGTGATTCGTAATGACTTTTTCAGTAAAAAAAAAAAACACCAGCAAAACAACTGACAACTTTACTAACCAGTTACTGCATGCTTTCAGTTCCCGCATTCTAAATTTGTATAACTTTCGAACTTCTCTGGCGCTTTCAAGGACTCAACTGAGGTTTCCAAATCCAAACTTCAGTTAAGTCAAAAACATGTTAAATGTAAAGGCACACGCTTGTGTATATATGTTAATGCAAAAATTTGTATATAGGACGTATTTCGTTATTTGTATACATGGCAGTGCAAAACCACAGCAGTACGGGTATCCATATGTAGATATGTATTATCTGTTAAATACCGACATATGGACTTATTACCGCAACATGTCTCAATGGTAAACACTTTACAGCTCCTTCCAAACACACATAGACATGTGAATATGTATGCAAAAACAATATGAGAGCTCACAATATTCGAATTCTCATCAAAGATAAATTTGTTTGTCCATACATATATATGTATATCCGCTACATATGTACATGTAGAATGAAGGATGACCAAAAGTGGGCGAATAACAGTCGAAGTTGGTCAAAAACGTAAACAGAAACATATTTATATGGACATGTAATAAGTAGTATTGTATGCATGTGTTTATATGTTCAAGCATATCATTAGAGTGGTCCTTAAAATATCAGCATTATGGTGCACATCCACGAAAATTAAAAAATTAAAAAAAAAAGGTTAGGAGTCGCTGCCAGGATTTTAAACCCCTTTTTAATCGCAAAAATTCGACCAAGTTTTTACTTTAACCAGCTGTAACTAAGCGCGTTATATAGCATTTAAATAAATAACTTTCAATATGGGTATTTATCTAAACGCCCAAACACCTGGTGGGCATATAAACCTCGTTAACTTGCTTAATTTTTGTATACAAATCTGTTTATTTACAAATTTTACGTATTTGCGAAGTATTTAAGCGTTCAGATTTATTAGATTTAAAGTAAAATTTTTTTTTAAAGTTTCACTATATGTATTTTTGTAACTTACATTTTTTTCAAGCCCTGGCAGAAAGCCCAGATTTTTTTTTTTAAATTTTGAAAATTTCGTGTATGCCTTAACTTAATACGTAGAAGAAAAGGGGTGGCACATAAAAAATTTAAAAGTTTTATAGACCACCATAATATGTACGTAGTTCACATGAAAGCGCATGCATACAAACAAATTTGGCATAAATGCTTTTACTTGATATCTTTATTTACTAGCAAGTAGCTGTAGGCGGACAGTAACGCACGTCCAGTATTTACGATAATTTATGTTTTTTCAAATAAGAATCGTCGAAAGTTTTACTTTAGTACACCACCGCCAACACAATTCACCGAAGCAGAGATAAGCGAATAAATAATATAAATAGCATACATACTTACATACATATGTATGTACGCACGTAATGTTGTCGTTAAGTGCATAGAAATATGATACGAGAAAGAATGTAGTATGTGTGTACATAACTAACTACATACACGAGTTCATGCATGCGAAATAGAAATTTATGTGATACTCGTATGAGCAAAATAAATTATAAATATTAGAATTTAATATTTTCTAAAAATTACTACACCTTAAAGATCAATTAAGTTCAACATTTATTAATTGTTATATTTATTTACGCAAACAAGCAATGATATAAATACGTTTGTATCTAAAAAGCTGTCAAATTGTTGGATAATGTGTATTAAAACTATTTTCAAATGGCATTTAATTTATGGCTCTTCAATAATGCAATAACTAAACTCAAAAATTGTTTGCCGAGTGTAAAGGCCTATTATTAGGAGATAATATAGCACAAGACACTGTGAGTTCAATTGGCTATAAGTGGCACTTTTCATTTGCTAAAGCAATATCAATGGATGTTTATCCTTAGATGAAACTTATTTTTCAGTTGACTGATACTCACTTTTATCTCTAGTTTTTTATATTCAATTTAATAGTTTTG